CAGGCTATTTTCTTTCTCCCCTTACACACAGACGCACCACAATTCTGTGGGAAAAGTTGAGCCAACCGTTCAATTACAGAGGAAAAAATTGTTGTACTTATGATTTAATGTTTGTCCTATATTTTCTCTGGCCTTTTCGCCCTGGACTTTTAAAACACAGATGTTACCCAAACATAACAATTCCTTTGTGCCGAGCTGGACATTCTGTTAATGAGAAACACACACATTTCAGGCCTGAGGAAAAAGTTTGCTCGACAAGGAATAACAATCACCTTTGATGGACAAGTCCAAATAACCAGGCCCTGCTGAACCTCGTACCCTTAAAGTACAATTTAAAGTCCAAAATGTGTCCCGAACCGCCAAGAAAAAGAATTTGGTTCAACAGAACAGTGAAATGCCATGGGATAAAAGCGGATATGTGAGAAGAAAAGAAAAGCGATAATGAGAAACCTTGTATTATCACATCTAAATTTTCAGACAAAACTGTCAAAATACTCTCCTGTTTCATGTTCACACCCTATCATGCATAATTTTTATTCTTGGAGGAATCGTCAAAAAATAGATGCAACGACTGGCAATTGAACTTCATTATGATCCATCATAAATATTACACTTCAAATTCAGATAGGTCTACCTGACAACAGTCTTGTTGACAATTTAGTCTGGGCGCTGTGTGTTTGGCAGCATGTGGAGAGAGTGAAAGTGTGTGCGTGCTTAAATTCTCCGTCAAGACACTTCAGTCTCCTCATTAACACTGCCTCTCCTGCACGTGAAAGTACCAAACTGAACGGTTCCCTAATGTGCATTAACAACCTTAAAAAAAAAAAGATGTAAATGAGGTGATACCGCTGATTTTGTGCAGTGCAAATGGATGCATTTGAAGGACAGCTCAATGATAAATGAACTGGCCTGGACTTCACAAATCTATAAATTACTACAACTTTATCACTTTGGATCACATTGTCTAAGTTTACTTTCTTAATCCCGGTCTTGTGAACCACTGGAAACACTTTCTAATTGAATTTGATATTGGTTAAAACATTAAGTATCATAAACTTACGATGAACAATTTATTTTTTGTTAAAGAAATATTTCAATGTCGCTTCAAACCTATATGAATGACTTCTGCGAAATACAAAAGATTACATTTTTATGAAAACGAACCGGATTGTCATTGTAAGGAAAAAATAATACAAAATTAAAAAGTAAATGTTAATAGAATTTCCATTTTTGAGGTGACCTATCCTTTTAATTTAATGAAAAGTTAAAATGTTTTAGCATACACTACGATTTGTGGTCTCGGGTCAGCATTTTACTTTATTCAGTAAAGACATTAAATTAATCAAAAATGACCGTAAAGACATTTATATTGTTCAAATAATATGCTATTGAACATTGTGTTCATCAGAGTCCTGAAAAAAGTTGTCATTTTTTCCACAAAAATCTAAAGCGGCACAACTGTTTTCAACATTGATGGTATAAGAAATGTTTCTTGAGCAGCTAATCATATTTCTGAAGGATCATGTGACACTGAAGTCTGGAGTAATGATGCAGAAAATTCAGCTTTGCAATTATAGGAAAAAATAGAATTGTCTTAAATAATATAATATCTAATTTTGATCAAATAAATTCAGCCTAATTGAGCATTTTAAAAATCTTACCAAAAACAAACTTTTGAACGGAGGTGTATATAGAAAAAAACTTTATACAGGAATAATAAATTCCGATGCTCAGGTAGGCCGTGGCATTTAAACGATGCCCAATTGGCACTAAGGGGCCTAAAGTGTGCCAAGAAAACATCCCCACACCATTACACCACCACCACCACCACCAGCCTGCACAGTGGTAACAAGGCATGATGGATCCACGTTCTCATTCTGTTTACGCCAAATACCGTGAAAATAGATACATACTTATTTAAGTTTAACTATAAAGTGTTACAACATTTTGGTGTGCCTGCCACAGTACAATTAGATAATGTAAACCAACAGCTTTTTATTCAGATATGTAACACTAACTTTTCACAATTCAATTCATCCTATGTTCTTTTTATCAATAAATATCTTGTTTCTCTCATAAAAAAGTCGATAGAAAAGAAAAAATATGTTGCGAATGACCATACAAGTTGACCATACAGCAAACAAAGGCTCAAATTTTCATGTAATCTTTCATTCTGTACATAATAATGAAATTACCCCATAATATTTAAAGAAAATACTTGATTGCTTGTAGAATAAAACGCCTTGTGTCTTCATCTCAGTGAGCTTTCCTAAATCCACTGTGGGATTATACAAAACTACAATTTCACCTCCATTTTCGAAATAATAGCATTGGAAAATATATTATGAAATACAAGCAAAGTTACTTTTAAAAGTAATGCATTACAACATTGTGTTACTCCCTCACTTTTTATGGAAAGTAACCCGTTACATTACTTTTTATCACCCTGGGTTTGGCTTACTTGTTTGTTATTAACTCAATGAATGAAGCATTATGAAATATCGTCTATGGACAAAGAGTTAGAGACAAAATATTGTTCTCTTTCCATGTGAACAGGGGCCGCGTAGGTGCATGGGTCCAGCTTGTTTTACGATGTTCTTTATTCGCACTGACTCATGGCGTAACACAGCCAGGGCATAACACCTGTCAAATGCTTACCAGGTGTGCGACCAGCGCTCTGTTGTTTTCAATCGGTTACTAAGATCATACTACTTACACAATGAATCTAAATGATTATTCTTATTTATTAATGACAGCTTCTGTCATTCCAACATCAAGATAGGACATTCATATTAAAAAGCCAGCTGTGAGTTCAATGTCTGATCATTCATCACTAAACAATTAAACCCATGGGTTCTCTACTTACAAAGACAATAACAGAGCAGTAACTGAAATGTTTCAAATTCATATTATGATACGGCCGGCAGAGCCCGTAACCATGTAAGACGACAGGGCCTGAAAAACGACAGACCTTAAGATCTTAGACACCTCATTTCTACTTCCAAAACCGCTTGATTTCTCTTTCATACGTACCCACAGAAACCCTCTTCCAGCAACTAATAACACATTACATGGCAATTTAATAATGTGGGGTTTAGAAACCATTATAATACCCCTCATGAGAGATACGCTATACTTTAATGGCCAGAAACGCAACATAACATGAATAATTTCACGAGTGGAAGTGAGCAGATCAGGGTTATTATTAATTAAAACTATTAAAAACTTTTTTTTTGTTAACTATAGAATTAACCTCGTCCTTCCCTTAGGTCATTTTGACCTGAAGATTGTTTTTTTTTTTTAAATGAGTGTTTATCTGAGTGGTCCAAGACCTGAATTTTGTCACACAAAAATGTGCTTAAATTATATTATTTATTGATAACAAAATCTAGTCATTTAAAGGTAAATAAATAGAATAATAGAGAAATATATTATAAAAATTAAATTATATAAGCTTTCTGGGCAAAAAAGGTATAATTTTAGGACTTTGATTCATTTGTACTCTCGAAAATATAAAATGAAAACAAGCATTAGAAATTTTGCCTTGGCAACAAACTGAAATAAGTTTCAGTTGACACACTAAATCTAGAAATAAACAAAAACTTTAAAAACTTAAATAATACAAATGACAAAAGCACATAACAAAATGACCAAAAATTTAACTAAAATGAAAGCTGAAAATATATAAAAAAAAAGGTTAACTGAAATTATTAATAAAAATATACCAGTATAGAAATAATGCTAAAACAACACTGGTGAGGACGCAACAAAGGTTTAGTGTTTTTTAAAGCTAGTGTGTGAGAGGCATTACAAAAAATTATAAATCACAGGAAGATCTTCAAATATTTCACCCAAAATTAATGATTTAGTCATCATTTACTCCCCTAATGTCATACCAAACCATCTTCCAGGGAACACAAAAGGACACCACAAATCTATGCTTTATGATACTTTTATTATATTTTTTACAGCCTCCATCTTCATTCACTTTAAATATATTGAAAACAAAAAGGTTGGTATTCTTAAAAAAATTAAAATCTTCATGAAATTCACCTTTTTTTGCACTATGGAAAAAAGTAGGGTGAGAAAGTAATGATAGACATTAATTTTTAACTATCCCTTTAAAGTTTCTGGCAATGAAGTAAGTGGAAACTCCACCTGGGTCTGCCCTGCATCTGCGAGTCTGAGATCACGGAGAGTTCAGAACCAGTGTTCTGGGTTATATAAGGACACATTTATAGAGCAAGGGCTGGAGAAGAACCTGCGCTTTAATGCAGAACAGGCCTAGTCTGCTTCCACATGCTGTGAAGACACTCACAGCGTCCAGCCACTAGAGAAAAAGAGGCCTGGAGGTTTACGAGCGATGTGGTCTGGCTAATGAGACAATGTGGTTCCTCAAATAGAAGTAGATTAAATGAATGATCTCAAAAAGATGGCAAAATCATTGAGATACAAGGTCATGTCATCGTCTGAATGTTCAACTTCAAATATTTTCCATTTCAGCTCAAAGGAGCAATTGTTTCTCTCTCCTCAATCTTGTGGTCCTTGTTTTGCCTGAATGACTACAGCGCCACCTGGTGGGCTACCCAAATCTTTCCTCACTTTAGGTTTGGGAGCTAACAAACAGGAGAAAAAACATCATGTTTCAGAAACATGTCGATGAAAACATCTATGGAGATTAACACGCACGCATTAAAAAGGCTTCTCTTACCATTTGGGTTTTCTTGTTTATAAAACGTCTTGAGCATTTCAACCGCCTCTTCCGCTCTATAGCCAGCGATGCACTGTGATAAGCAAATAAGCATGTGCTACAGCAAATATGCAATGTGGTCTGGTCTAAAATCGAGGGAATGTGGAAGTTTCTACAAGAAAAATATTCTAGCCACACAGACCGGTTGAGCAAAATTGAGAATTTAAGGAACTGGCTTTCTTTTGAATTGGAGCATGAGCTGGAATTTAAATTGAACTGGATAGAAATTGGAGGGAATACTTTTATTTACCTTAAATGTTGTTCCAGTGTGTGGTAAATGATCTGATGAGATGTCCATGACGGAGCCACAGCCTCCAAACCGCTCATTTATGCACCCATATACAACTAGAGGTATGTCTGTCTAAACATTAAGGTATTCTTTTAGCGATGACATGATCTTAGACAATAAAATCCTGTGGTAAACACAATAACACTTTCGAAATCTACTTTTTGATAGTAATTGTTTTATAAAAGGAAGACCTGTGACTGACACAAAGATGTAACACTACAGTTCACAACAAAAAAAGAAGAAATTAATAGTTTTATGCAGCTAGGATGCATTAATTTGATTGAAAGTGACAGTAAAGACATTTCTAACATTACACACAATTTCTATTTTAAATAAATGTGGTGCTTTTGAACTTAAAAGAAAAAATATTTCCACAAAAAAATAAGCAGCCTAAATGTTTTCAACATTAACAATAATTTTCAACATTAGAGCACCAAATCATGCAGCATATTGGAATTTCTGAAGAACTGTGGAGACTGAAGACTAGAGTAATGATAAAATTAAATTTTAGAATATATCCACATAGAAAACTTATTTTATATTGTAATAAGAATCAAAATATTACTGTTTTACTGTATTTCTGATCAAATTAATGCAGACTTGGTGAGCATAAGAGAGTCTTCATTACAAAAACATAAAAAAATCTTAGCCACTCCAAACTTTTAAAATGGTAGTGTTTGTGTAAATGTCATTCAAACAATAGTGAACCACATTTTTGCTTCAAGGATACAAAGCAGGCGCAGAGCAGCAGCACACATGATACATGGCTCCACTGTCACATACAGAACAGTCTGTTCACACACTTCCTTCGGGTCCTTCGCTCTGAAACGGCACCAGTCCAGCACTTGATCCAGTGCCACCATTTCTGCATGCCGGGTAGCCTTGGGCAAAGCAGGCACACATGTCAGGTTGTTTCATCTAGTCCAAAGTTTCTCCCTGCTTTACTAGGAAGAACCGTTAATCAAAATGCCTTGACATATGGGTCAATATGGGTTTGTTTAAGATGACAAAAATAAGAAATAATTTTAAATATATAGTTAATAAATAATGTTCCTAGAAAAAAAACTGACATTATGCAACCCCTTAAGTGAAACATACTCAAATATTTTCCTTACACCTTGAGTGTAGTAGACATCTTAATCATGAATCATATAAGCCTTCTAATGAGACTTTTATTTTTTTAAATCTGTAAACTATATAACTTAAAAAAATATCACAATTAATTTAGAATCAGATATTAAACGTGTTCATCATAGAGGTGTATTCACATCATGCTCTGTATGAACCCCATAGTTTCTTAACAGGTCCAAAAAATATGATTGCCCTTATTGATAAATTATCATTTGCAGATACATACTGGAGCATAGGGGCTATACAGTGTTAGCTTAGACATCATTTTCATTACCGTTACCAATAATAAATTGAATAATAATAAAAGAAGATTATTAAAATTAAGCTTTATTGTGAAGTCACTTACATTTTTTGTTTCATTCACCTCATTTCTTCCTTTTCCAATTATCTCATTGTTATAAACCATCAAACAGCCAACTGGAACCTCACCATTCTCAAGGGCTTCAATTGCCTTTAAAAGTAATTCATAACATGTCACATGTTAATATTATTTTATCAAAACAACCCAAAGTACAATTCACCATTACCATATTACACACATTTATGGCAATGATAATACCACCGCGACCGCAACTAACGTTACAGTTACACACACACAAACTTTTCCGACAAAGACTATCTCAGTAATAATACAATAATGCAGTACTAGGTATCGAAGGGGAAATGACACTTATGTTAAATAAATACTGGTAAGAGAAACAGTAAACATTGGAGAGTCTTTACCATATCAAACGCCTTTGACATCCATGTCTGTATCTCACTGTCTGAAGGCTGCAGAAATTCACTCTTCTCGGGGTCAAAACTCTCTGTTTGCATATCTATCCGTATCCTCAACAAAAATAATAACTGTACAAAAATGCAGCTTAAATCTGGGGGAAAGTGGTGTTTTGTTTGCACGCGCACGTGTTTACGGGGGAGCGTAATAATGGATGGACCTTCCAGGGCGGTGAATCGAGCGCATGCATAATCGATCAATCGACTCGCTCTGTTATGTGTTGTTTGCCTTCTTGCTGCTACCATGATGAGAAGTTATTGCCATGTAGCATTGTGCTAGCTAGTAAGTTACGTCCAAACACGCTCTTACATCTAGTTTTCCGTGTGTGTTTTTGTGGTGTCAAGTCTGGTTTAAAAAATGTTGAGTTCTACATGGAATTTCATCAAACGCCATAAGAGGAAATTCATCTTCACTGGGGTTTTTGTTGGAGGTACGTGGGCACATAGACCACCTGCATGCTTATAGTTCAGACATAGTTAGCTAGCATGTCTGTGCATTAAATATTTCTTATTTTTAATAGATGAATACAAATACTTATCTATAACATAGTTTAGCATGTTATTACAGTGTTGCCAATGCCAAGCATTAGTTCTTATTTCCACATTCAACTAATTAATCTCAGCTCACCTGTCACCTAGATTTTCTATTGGCACTGTCATAGCAAAGTCGATATGGACTTTACCCTGGTATTTTTTGCCTAAAGAAAGATTTTATATTACTGAATAGATCTTGCATATTGCATATCACTTTCTTGTGTATTATATTGTAATGTATCCAATCCTCATACTTCATGCACAGGTGTCTATCTACTTGGTAAATATGCACAAAGAAAAATTCAGCAGATGCAGGAGCGAGAGGCAGCCGAATACATCGCTCAAGCTCGCAGACAGTTTCATTTCGAAAGCAACCAGAGGACGTGTAACATGACAGGTAAAATAAAACAATTACATGATCAGTTCATGAAAGTGATGTTTGTTCTGCCTGATGTATGCAATTGTGTCTTTTATCTGTAGTGTTATCAATGCTCCCCACTCTCCGAGAGGCAATCATACATCACCTGAACTCAGAGACCCTCACTGATTTGCTGAAGACCAAGTGAGTCATGCTTCATGTAAATTATAGATGATCATCTACATTATAATATAAAAGAATATAACTGACATAAGTCGTCATGTCTTCCCACACAGGCCAGCCAATAAACTTGAAATCTGGGAGGATCTAAAGATTATTAGTGAGTTCAAGAAGTTTTTTTTACTGTAATAGTATTCCAGATGTATTCAATATGAACTCAAAATTGACCCAATTTATTTTGTTAATGCACATTTTTAATCTTATTGTGAACTATCAATGTGTGTACTTTATCCCTAAGAAAAAAAAAATAATCTTTGTAATTTATTAATAATTTTATTGATGTACTATATATAGTTTTTATAGTTTTTGTTGTTTAAATATATAGAAGAGTAATGGCAATTCAATGTAGCTTTTTTTTCTGAAGAAAAACAAAAAACAGTTGGATTTTAAATAAATGGTTCGAATTTTCTGTTCTTCAAAGAATCCTGAAAAAAATAATATAATAAATATAATATAATAATCTTGCTTTCCACAAACATATTCAGCAGCACAACTGTTTTCAACATTGATAATAATAAGCATTGTTTCTTGAGCATGCTGTAATAATTGTAATTATGACTTCATGTCCTCAAAGAAATTGTAAACTGGAAATTTTCGGAGAGCTATGACTTGAACCACGTGACCGCTGCAGATTAATATTGCCGTTGATGGTGTTGACATATAAAAACGAATAATTGCTCCAAATATAACATCACGTTCATTTTGTAATTATGGCATGGAGAGAATGCAGCATAAATCAGCAGTATTTATCAATATACTGAAGACTAGAACAATGGCTGCTGAAAATTCAGCTTTGCCACCACAGGAATAAATTACATTTTGATATGTTAAAATATCAAACAGTTATTTTAAATCATAAGAACATTTCACAATATTTCTGTGCTGTATTTTCTATCAAACAAATAAAGACTTCTTTCGAACAAAAACATTAATAAATCTTATACCGACCCCATAATTTTGAATGGCAGTGTAATTGTTTTTGTAAATGTAATAAACAAATGTTCTTTTCCATTGATGTCATTAGCGATTAAAATGTTGAGCAATGACCAAATAATTATGGCATTGTTTTGGTTGAATTCTGATTTGGAACACCCACTTTTCACAATCAGATAAATTCCCACCCTACAATTTATTGTTGAATGTCCTGTTTGCCAATACATCACATTATGGCAGTAAAATGGATTATGAACAGAAATGATCTCCGCCCTGCAGGTTTTACCCGCAGCATTGTGGCGGTTTACAGCACTTGCATGCTGGTGGTGTTACTCAGAGTTCAGCTCAACATAATTGGTGGCTACCTGTACCTGGACAACTCTGTGACAAAGAATGGAACGGTATGTCAGGGCTTGGTGTTTTAAAGGCAACGCAACGTCATTTTATTATGTTATCGTGTCATTTTTACCACATTTCTCTTATACTGCTACTTTAGACCCCTTTCGCCCCTCCTGAAGTTCAACAACAATATCTGTCAAGTATCCAACACCTTCTTGGAGAAGGTGAGGACAATGTCAGATCTGTATAAGAGCGTTATAGTTTAATCCTCTGTTATTCATACAGGCCATATGCTCTATAGTTTACTTTATACCGATGTTCCTTTTTTCTGTCTTTTCAGGGCTCATTGAACTGATAACTGTGGTGAAGAAAGCTGTCCAGGAAGTTCTCGGACTGTACGCTGAGTGTTTGATTGGATGATGAATGAATCTAGTCATCCCATACTTGTGTCTTTGAGCCGTGTCAGTTATCCTCCGCTAAATGCTGTTTGTGTCTCCTCAGGGTGTCTCTGAAGCAGAGTTTGTCCCTACAAGAGTTGGAGGAACAGCTAACACAGATCAGACAGTTAGTGGAGGAGGGCTGTGCTTTCTCTAAACACAAAAGTCTTTCCTGGTATATGATGCCTGATGAAGAGAACACGCTAGCCTCACAGGTACATATGTGTAATATATCATTTATATGTGAATGATTAGTCGTTTATCATTATTGTTTTTATAATTTATTAGTATTAGAGCTGCACGATTAATCGTTAAAAGATCACAATCTCGATTCAAACTGACACGCAATTTTATTCCTAAAAGACAACGATTTGGCTCTGTCTATTAAAATTTGACAAGTACGATCAGATCGGAACAATCAAATCTGAAACAGTGTTTCCAAGCACACAGTATCATTATTTCTGTTACAGTTCTGTTAAACATTTACAGTTCGAATGGACACACTGGTCAACGGAAGCAATAAAAAAAAATTTAAAGTAACTTGATGCTTCAAATAAATGTTGTCAATTACATATTTAAGCCAGTAGGTGGTGACAAGTGACTGTTAAACAATGTATTTGTCGTAGAATTATTAATTTAAGAGACTTTCAAAAACAATGATTCATCCAGTAATGAAACGAGTGAGTCATTGAATCAATCATTCAAAACCGATTTATACAAAAAAGTAACAATTCTTTCATATTAATTCAATATATTTTGATATTTTGTCAGAACCTCTACTAAATTACATGTTATTTTGTTTAGCTGTTTATTTTGTTCAGAATTGTGGTAGAATAATGATCTCTATTATAATAAAAAAAAATATTATTCTCAATTTGTTTTTTTTTTGTTTTTTTACCTTTTCTCATATATATTACATTTATTTTGCGTTATATATGTGTAATATTTATATATATATATATATATATATATATATATATAATATATGTATCAGTTATAAGGAATAACATACATATATATATATATATATATATATATATATATAGTTATTATTATTTCCCTATTTTTTCTTCTCCCAGGCCTGTGGTCTCACAGAAAATGATGTCACAACAATAAAGCTGCTGAATGAAACCAGAGATATGCTTGAAAGGTGAGTGAAATCAAGACACCGATATAAACCTGTATAGTTAAAAATTGAAAATATCAAGGTTAGGACTTTAAAACGTTTCAATTAATTATTCACAATTAATCTCATGATTTATTTTTGTACTGAAATCACTAACACATTCAGTTCTTTTTATACAGTATATGAGTTATATGAAACACAGTTCTGAATTCAAAGAGCATTTATGCTAAAAGAAAAAAAAGGAAGCAGACGAGATTAAATTGGTTAAATCAATAGGTTAAAGGTGCATTGTGTAATATTTAGGAGGATCTGTTGACAGAAATGTAATATCATATACATAACTATGTTTTCAGTGGTCTATAAAACCTTAAATAATGTATGTTTTTATTACCTTTCTATAGAATAAGCCATTTCTATCTACATACACCCGAGGTCCCCTTACATTGAAATGCGCCGACATGTTTCTACAGTGGCTCTTCACTATGGTGTTCTTCGTGTATAGAAGCTAGCTAAAGTCAGTGAATAAAACACTGACACAATGATGAACAAGTAAAAATAATATTCGCAATAACATAGTTTTACTAAATATTTGGGTAAACCTATGTTCTTAATTTATCTTTGTAAAGAAACCTCATTGCTTAATCTTAATCCTCATTGCTGTCTCAGATGACATCTTTTCCTGTTGGCCACTGTAACTTCTGTAGCCACAATTCGCAACCTCACCACTAGATGCCGCAGGATTACACAGTGCACTTTTAACAGATCTCTTCAGCATAGGCACATTATTGAGCTCTCTAGCTGGGTACTAATTACATCTAAACTTTTTTTTTTCAGTCCAGACTTCAATACTGTACTCCGTACTTGCTTGAGCAGAGGCTTTATCCGATTCTTAGACAACATGGCAGAGTTTTTCCGACCCCCGCAGGGAGACACCACCCCCTCCAGTACACCTGATCGGTCAGTATACATGCATTTATTTTTATTCAAAAGGTAAAGTTACCCCAAAAAGTGTTACATTTGCACGATTAAGCCACATTTCAAAATGCATTTATATAACAAAATATCAAACCTGTGGAAGCTTGGTTCTGCCGTGGAATAAAAAATAGTAATTGCGACCAAACTTGTAATTGCGAGCTTACATCTTGCAATACTGACGTTTTTCCTTAGAATTGTGGGTTATAAACTCGCAATTGCAAGTTGATATCTTTAAGTTTTTTTTTAGAAGGTCAGGACATCAGATGTACAGGTTTTTTTTTTAATTATTATTATTATTATTTATTTAATTTAT